TTATATATACATATAGTCACGGGATATGGAGTCAATGGAATTGTAATAGATAAGTATGATATCGGGGGTGGGAGGGCAGTGGATGGGGGGAGGGAGGTTGTTACTTTGTGAGGGGTGAAAAGGATAACTATTGCATTGTTCTGTACACCTGAAACTAATAATAAAAAATAAAAAGAAAGAAAGAAAAAAAAGGTTAACTGCCTAGGATCTAGTTATTCAGCCGAGTCTAGAATTCAGGTTTCGTGATCCCCAGCCCTGGGGTGTTCCACTCTCCTGTGACTGGCACCTGGCATATTCCATTAGGGCCACGTTGGGAAACCAGCTACTGGCCTTTCACTAACCAAGTCCACTTACATGAGCTCCCCAGAGTGCTTTGTGTTATACTCATTTTGCTCTATAAACAATAAGGTTATGGTTCTGCTTAATAGATTGCTTTAAGAATTTTGGGTGAAAAGCAAAGTATTCTGATGCTTTCCCCCCCAGTGGAATCATCTAGTGGTATACCAATTCTGTAAATTATAAGGATTGGTTTGCCTGCCAGGGTTCCCATTCAAAGTTTGTTTTCTGTATAATATCATTTTATAAGTACACATCTGTGCCAGTTTTCAAAATAAACTATCATTAAAAACATTTCTTTTGTTCCCTCTCTTTCCTTTCCTGGCTCCCTCCCTGTCAATCCCACCTTCCCTCCCCTCCCCTTCCAAACCAGGATATTGGCCCTCCTACAACATTCCTTTCCATGAAAAAATCTTCAACTGGAGTGGGTATCCAATGTTAGTTGAGAAGCTGGGTTTGGACTACTCTTATGATCTGGCTCCACGAGCCAAAATCTTCCGGCGTGACCAAGGGAAAGTGACCAATATGACGTCCATGAAATATATCATGCGATACAACAGTACGTAGCACATTTCTCAAGAATCATTCTTCAAAACTCCTTTTCTTCCCCATGGATAAAGAATCCATGTAAGTTTATCATCTCCGTACTAGAAGAAATTGTAAGAAGTTATTGAATTAAATATTTAGTATTCTATTAATACTAGACATTTTATACTCAACAAATACAATTTGTCCTTTATAAAATGAAAGGGAAGAAGATTCTACAGGCTTTTATTGAAAAAATAATATGTAAAACACAGAAAAAATAACCCAGAGGGTACTTTTTTTTTTTTAACCACTCCCTCATCCCCAAACATAGGTTTTCTTCCAAGGACAAAAGCAGCCAATAAAACAAAAAGTATTCAGAAATATTTTTGATGAACAGTATCAAAGTCAAATTTGTATTTATTTTGTTGAAAAACAATTGATGCACATTTATCCTGTTCTCTCTCTTCCATCCACTCTTCATTGAGCCAGGCTGGGCCTGGAGCAGGGTTACCCCTTCCTAGTACAAGCCAAAGGAGACTTCTGTATATGGGAGCAGGCTGGGCTGAAGAGGCCTCTGGGGTATAGACTCTCTGATCACCTAGGCTTTAACAGGCCCAAAAAGCTTACTGTGGATAAGTGTTACCTCAGGCTAGCCAGTGCTCACTCTTGTCCCCATCTCTGTCTCCTAGATTATAAGCAGGATCCTTACAGTAAGGGTGATCCGTGCAATACCATATGCTGCCGTGAGGACCTCAACTCACTTAACCCAAGTCCTGGAGGTTGCTATGATACAAAGGTAAATGCCTGGCTTTTTTTTTTTTTTCCAGTCACCATAACCATAACTATTCCACCAGCACCTATGCCTATTCAAAGGCAAAGCTGCAAAGGTTTTTGTGGCATAAAGCACAATGTTTCTAACCATTCACTCAATTCAGGATTCTGCGTTTTTCTGGTGATAGGTCCCATTGCCTAACTTCAAGTTCGTGCTCTGCCACTGAATAGTAAATCACATAATCTTGTAATGCTTCTGTTTCCTCATCTGTAAAATGGAAATAACAGTACTTGCCTCATAAGGTTGTTGTGAAAAGTAAACGCTTACTATCTATATAATGTTTAGAATAGTACTTAATGGGTTATTTGAAAATGTATACATTATTATGATGATGGTGATAATGTTGATGTCTAAAGTTTTACCAGACTGATCCCAAGTCCAAAGAACATATTATTGAGAGCAGTGTGATTTCACATGAAACAGAAATTGAATTTAGCTGAAAGAACAAGTATTGGATCAGCTGCCAAAGCACTAAAGGGTTTTACCATGTTAGAATTATAAGTGCTGTAATGTGTCTTATAAGTAATATGTTTGCAGTGGTGATCTGAAGCCAGCTCATACAGGCTTGTGAGAACTAGTTAAAATCAGTTAACTTTGCGTTAATAGCTTGAAATCAGCTGTGGTGGGAGTATTTACACCATGGAAATGGGCAAACAGTGCAAATCAGGGCCTTTTTTTCCTCAGAGAGCTGGTTGCTAAAAATTTACCTGGACACTGCTGGATTTGGGGTGTCCAAAGGTATGAGTTAGCCATTTTAGATAATGGAGAGAATCATTCTACCACATTCTTTTGCATTTTTCTTTGGTCATGTGTCTTCTCACTTGCAATCCATCCTAAATTGTAGAAGAAATCTGTTAGAAGTGGAGTTAACTGTTTTATCTTCAGCTCTGAAACTGTAAGAATGCCAACCATCCTACACATTTTTTTCTATTAGTCTAATGCCTACATGGGAGATGCTTTAGAGTAGTCTGAGTTTCCAACTCACCCTACTTTTTTAGCTAAGTGATCTCAAAACTTTAGCCTTAATTACTCTCAATATGTTGTGTAATGTAGAAAAAAACAGCAAGTGGATAGACATGATAGACATTGGCACACATGAAACCCCAATCAATGTTTTTGTATTTCTTCTCAATGGTATTTGCAAACATGCAGCCAAGTCTGTGAAAACTGTTATATCCAATCCAGAATGTAGGAGATTTACCTCTGCTGCCTTACCTAAGAGAATCCAAGTCAAGCTGTCATTTTTCAAATTTTATTTTCTTCTGCAAACAGGAGCCTGCCAGTTTATCAAAAAAGTTTCTGTTGAGGATACACTTTAAAAATATAATTTCTCTTTAGCGATTTTGAGGATAGGAAAAATCAGAAGTTATGAGACATTTTCTTCTTTCCCCTGTAAGGTTACGATCTGCTGCTACCCAGTGTTTAGGTGTTTCTGAGAACCACGGACCTCGTTTTTGATACTGAGTTCCACTTTAGAACTCTTGTTACTGTCCTGATTAATAACAACTTTTGAGGAATTAATATTTTCTAGCACTGCTCCAAGCATTTGCTCTTAGTAAACCTCATGACAACTTTTCTGTGAAGTAAAGTTATTAGCCTACTTTTCATGTGAGAAAACTGAGTCAGAGAGAGGTATTTTAAAATAAATGTTGGAGGCAGAATTCTGATTGAGTCATCTGACTACAGATCTCACACTTTTGGCTACATGGTTAATACTCTTCTACTAGTCAATTCACATTTGAAAGCCAAATGGATACAGAAAAGCATATATTGTGGAAGCTCACAAGATTTTGTTTTAAAAGGCTAATATTGTGACTTTGGAAAAAGGACAGGAAACAAAAGAAAAAACAGGGATTTAGTCAAGTTTTTTTCCAAAACTTCTAGGAAAGTTTTTTCCTTTCTCTTTCTAGGTGGCAGATATCTACCTAGCATCCAAGTACACAGCATATGCCATTAGTGGCCCCACAGTACAAGGCGGCCTCCCTGTTTTTCACTGGAGCCGGTTCAACAAAACTCTCCATGAGGGCATGCCAGAGGCCTACAACTTTGATTTTATTACCATGAAACCTATTTTGGACCCTGACATAAAATGAAGGAAGAAGAGGGAATAGAAGGCTGCAAACAAGATACCAAAGACATTATTTTAGCTGTTTTCCATTCAAAATTAGTCTTAATAAAATGTATTAGTCTGTTACTTTCATTTCCCACTGTTGATTTTGTAGTTAACAAGCATTGTAGCAAGCACTGGAGAGAAAACATTAAATATGATCAACAATATGATCGGCACACGAGCTTATATACAAGAGGGTATGGTAGAATCTGCTCCCTCACTCACCACAATCCATATTCTCCTTTCATGCCTGGCCATGCAGACCACTCATCCCAGGTTCCCTACGTAGCTGTGCCCCGGGATGAGGAGTTCCTGCCAATGGTATCTGAGAAGTGTCTTTCAGACCTGGCCCCTAAGAACCTGTGCTCCTCCGTTCTCTTTCCCCTCCCCCTGGCTGGATCTGCCTAAGGACAAAGCCCTCGGGAAAGGTGGAGCTGTGTTTTCAAAGGAACCTCTAACAGAAATGCTGTCAGTGACTTTTCTGGGCATCAACAACTCTCAGCTGAGTCTTTGTGGTGCAGGCTAGGCACACAATAGAGCAAGCCTTAATGTTGTTGCTCCCCTCCCCCCCATTAGTAAAAAGCTAAGCAGCATGATGTGGGAGCAACTCTGCATAACGATTTCTCTTTCAAAGTTGGAGAATTGTATTGTGTGTGGTTTGGGCACTGTGGTAGTGCTAAATGAGTTAAATAAACCATATTGTACAGTCTAATAGGTGGTTTTTAAAAAGGTGAGAGACTTTCAAAAGAAAGAAACACAAGGGCTGACAATAATCAGAATGAATCAGAGTACTCAGAATGTTAAAAACCCAGTAGTTTATTTCAAAGTATAAATTTCAGGCTTGCTGGACAAAACCCCACTACAGTTAACACTTATACAGACGCCAGTCTACTGTACATTTAGAAAAGAAAAAACAAAACAAAACACAAAACCTTTAAAACCTAATAAAAATAGGGCAACTTGCTATAGCCCAGTTTAAATTAGACATCAGGAAGGTCTTACATTGTCTTATTATTTACACTTTCAACTGCAATAAAGAAAAATCAGAATGCAAGTTTCCTACAAAGAACTTATTTTTATATTTAGTTTTGAAATGGCTGATGAAATACTAAACCCAGGATCCCCAAAAGGTAAACGTTTGATTGCCCAGTTACCTTATTTACAAACAAAACTTTAAAAAAGACAGCATTTAAATATAAATGATGGGTATTTAGCTGACGCTACAAATTTAAAAAAAAGAAAGAAAATCTTATTTAGCATGATAAAACTGTATTGTCCTATTCCTCCCCACTGGCTGGGGAATAAATTTTAGGAATTACATAAGTCTGCCACACTAACAAAACACCTCATAAGGATTGTTCTAATCCCAAAATGTAAAATAAAAAGAGGAGCAAAAGGGCATCATTTGCCCAGTAAGGAAGGCAGAATCATACATTGGTTTTATATAAGAGTTATTTGCAATAATCTAATACTGGGACACGGTTTTCTGGAAATTAGAATAAAATGGGCCAATGACTGGTCAATGATAAAACAACAAATGAATCATAGGATACTGAAATAGCCCAAGAAGGAAAGTCAGCAAGAACACTTGGAAGGTCTTTGCAGTATTCTACTGAGTTATAAGATCACATGTATAAAAGCGAGGAGGATACCACAGGCATTGTTTGTTAATCTTGTACAGTACTGGAAAATTCGTGGAACAAGATAAATGCATATCATGCAATATTAACACTCACCTTGCTGCATAAATGATAATTTTGAAAATGTAAGCAAAAGAGCAAACAACAAAAACTAAGTTAACACTTCTGCATTACAGTTAAGAGAACTGTATGGTGCAGCCTGCTTAAGGAGTTCTGCAGAGAGAAATCTACCTAAAGATTCTAAGCTCCTTGCTCTAGGACTTTTTATTCAATTAAACTTTTCATTTATTACCCAACAATGGGGGTGGAGAGAGTGGGGAACACCTCTCTGTGAGGCAAATGGTATCCCAATAAACACTTACTTTTCAAGGAACAAAGTTATACTCTTCGCTTCTTTCATAAACTTCTGTGTTAAACAGCACACAATATTCTGCATATTTTAAAAAGGGAGTCCAGTGAACTAGAGAGATATAGTTACCTCATCAAGTTAACTGTTCACAGATGTTGTCATTGTATGTAATTTATAAATTTACTGGCAATAACATAATTTTGAAAAGAGGCTTACTCACACTTAAAACAGGGTGAAAATTACTCTGACAAAGTGCAAAGTAGAGAGTAACAAACATCACTGTTACCGTTAAATGCCATATAAATATCCCACATTTTGGGTTGAAATATTAAAAGTTTCCATGATTTCCAACAAGGCAATACTTACACAAGTATTGTCATGGTAAAAATGTACCAAACTTGCATTCCCAAAATGGGATAATCAAGCTTATTTGTAATACTTTGTGAAAAGGTACCACGAAATAAAAAGGTACCATAGGGTGTGAACTGCTACAAAAAAGTCTATAATCAGTAGCTATTTCTAGTTGAGTCCTCCCTTTTCTCTCCCAAAAGAAACAACCCAAACAAAAAGTGCTCATCAATATTAAATCCTGCCCCAAATATAAGTCTAGAGTTCTAGCCTAGCACCGCTCAGTAAACCCAATATAGTTGTTGCCTATAAATCCCATGGCAGGCTAATTTGAGGAGACCATCTTACAATATGCTTGCTTTCTCCTTAAATAATTACAGTCTTTCCTTATACCTTCCTTCCACTATCTGGAATAAAAAGTTTTATTTTACTGTAGTAAATCTATTTTTAAGATTACTATCTGAGAATCTTTTTCTTTGACAGAAAACATAATGTGGACTAAAATAACACGCTATTTTCACTCTACTTAGCTTTCTTAACCTGATTACATAAGGCTATGACAGCTTCAAAAAAAAAAAAGAAAGAAAGGATTAGTAAATATAAATAAAAACATTCACCAGGGTAACCTTTTTTAGGCTAGGTGAGCAAATTATTATCACATGACCATAAAACCGGCCAATAAAGAACAATTTTGAACATGGGCTTTCTATTCAGTAGACAGGAATGATCTTGAACACATAATCAACATTGCAACCCTTGCAGGTAAAAACATATATACATGCAGATATAGATAGGTGTTCATATACATCTAGAAAGTATCTCCCTTTTGAAATTTTCATTGGCATGACATTGGCAACTTCTTTACCATCATCATTAGTTCTAGGATGAGGAACTTCTACACAGTTGCTTGGCAAATTTGATTCATGGAAACTTTAATTCTCATTGTGGTATCATTTTCTGGAAGTAAAATGAAGGTTTTGGAGCATTTACACTTTGGCAATCTGTAGGCTTTCTTCAGCATCAAACTTCACACATAACATGACAGTACACTGACCAGTGAAAGTCTCTAAAGACTTCACAACTAGAATGCTTCTGATTACAAGCCATCAACCCTTGCAAACAAAGCAGCAGGGGACTGCACTATATTTTGTGATGAGGAAGGGAAGATGAAGGGTGAAAGGCTGAAAGGGAAGAGTAAACAACAATGGACAAATGGCCATGTTTATTTTTGTAGTTAATCTTTAAGGCACAAAATAAACGTAAAGTCAGATTAGGAAAGGGAAGGGCCGTTGCAGATTTTTTTCCACCTAATGAACAACCCAGAAGAGACCAAAGAAAAGATGAACAGATGCTTTCCTGTGTTCACATTAACCTATTTTAAACTATTTAACCATTTTGACTTTTATTTCTTTCTTTGGGTTTTGTTTAGATTCTGGTTAAATCATTTAACTATGTACCTACAGATCCCTTAGAAGCAGAATCACACAGGATACAGACCTCAGATCCTTTGATCTAACTACTTTATATTGGAAGAGAGGTAAAGCTGAGAATGAAAATGGAGATTCCACTGCAATAAACATATAAATAGGGGAGGAAAAACCACACGCACAAACACCCACACATATTCCCCAGCCTCAAAACTAAAGAAAGGTGCACATTTACATTTCAAAACCTTGAAGCTTGAATTGTCCAGGGAAAGAGACTTGCTTTATCGGCTAAATTTATTTTACTCTGATTATAAACAAATGTAGTGTATATACACACCTGTCCAAGAAATCTTGCACAATGTGGATTTGACAATGAGAATCATGCACAAGATCAAAACATGACCAAAAAGTGGAACTTTTCAAAGGGGAAGAGAAAAAGGCTCCAAGGTTTAACTGCTCTGGGAAGAAGAGATCACATCTGTTGACTGAGGATCACAGAAAGGTCCAAAACGTCCATAAATATCCTTGGCTCGGACTGCAAAGTAGTATTTGCTGCCAGATACAAACTGGGTGAGAGTGCATGCCATGGGCAAAGGAAGTGCCTTTACCTCTCCAATCTTTTTCCATTGTGAGGGCACAGTGGCACTGGGTTCCTCGTGGTAAGCATAGAGATGGTAGCTGTCAACTGTGGCACAGCTTCGATCCACTTCCAGGACACTCCATGACAGTACAATGCCATTTTGACTCTGAACTCGTGCTAACTTCAAGTGTGGCTTCTGAGGCAGAGATGTGCTGGCAGCTTCTGGGGGCAGACGCGGTGGTTGTGGGGCTTCTGGCAAGGGTGCTGGGTGCACAGGGCGTGGGGGCTCCTAACAAGAGAGGCATATTGATTTATAATGACCACGAAAAGGACGGTTTCTGAGCCAGAACTAAAACATCCTGGAGATCACTTTGAGAGATCATTTTATATCAAGACTACTGGGAAATACCAAATACCACACTACATTTGGCAAGCTTGATTTGGTGATTTGTAACCAATCATGCCCCAAGCAACGGTGTTGAGGTAATTCCTGCTACAGTTTCTAGACCTACGATACTGGGTTTTCCTTGGGAAATAAAAGCCCTAGCCGGTGGAACATCATCTTGACAGAAACTGAAATAATCATCTACTTATAACAAAATAATTCATGATTTAATTCTCTATCCATGTTACAGATTCTCATTTTAGGATAATGTAACATTTTAAAATATTATGTGTGACAGTCTGTCACGGGAAATTTGAGTACTCAACTCTCATTTTAAAGCTGTTTTTCCATATAAAGACAGAAGCATATTCTTATAAATAAAAGCACATTTAATGATGAATGTATATTATGTTCTTGGTCTGCACGAAACAGGTGACATTTAAATTAGACCATGAAAGATGGGATTTAGAAATGCAGAAGAAGTCGTGCACCTTTCTGCTAACAGGTAATGGGGATGGGAAAGAGGGGATTTATAGGCAAACAAGTATTAACCTTTACTTAGACATGGGGTATGTGAAGAAGAAAAGATGAATTTGGAAAGGAAGGTTAAAGCCAGATGACGAAAAAGCATGAATACTAAGCTTAGGTAGTCACAATGACTTATCTAACACTGGACATCAATGTATCTAGGTTTTAAGAGTACAGTGTTCATTTTTTCAAAAAAGATTCACGTGAGAGCCAGGAAATAGGGATATAAGCGATCTTTTTTTTAAGTGAAACATATCATTGTTCACTGACTTTAGACTGGAAGTCATGAAACAAGGTTTCCTTAACTGAAATTCATTTCACAAAATTTGTTTTAATATGCATTTCATTAAATGGATAATTTGTATACACTGAATAGTGAATTCTGTGATGGCGTGATGGTATCTTTTTAATTTCCATGCCTTCTCAAAGCTTAGTACCAGAAACATGCACACAGGAAGAGTTCAGAAACGATATGCTGAATAATTTCAAGGAATGTAAATCTGCTGAAATTCATACGCCTAGTGGAAAAAATTCATACACACGTCTGGAAAAAAGTACAATCTACAGTTAAAGAGCTAAAATAAATTTAAAGTTAGAGGAAAAGAAATAAAATTTAAAGATAAAACACTGAAAGAAGTAGAAATGATTTGAATACTAGCCATGTTCCTATATTTTCTCTCTCAAATTGTCTTTTTTCCTAAAATGACTTAAATCACTTTAATAAATAAACATTAAACAAATATATAGCTAGCAATCTAAGAGAAGATGGCTGAAGCCATGAACTTAACTGGAGGGATCACAAGAATTTAAGGAGTTTGACAATAGCTTAAAGGGCCTGCAATTCTAGGATTCTGAACCTACTAATATCCCAAAACTAATTAAGCCAAATGAAATTTGTTTCATTTCTGCCATCGCAATGGAGGTTTTTACTAAAGTCTTACAGATAAAATAATATAGCAGGGATTTGCTTTCAAATAATCTGGTGTATACATGGTTGTGGAATTAAGTGGCTGGCAACATTGATGAAATAAGACTGGCCAAGTGCTGATAATTGTTGAGGGTGCGAGATGGGTATGGAGGGATTGTTATACTAGTCTCTCTACTTCTATGTACATTTGAAAATTGCCATTTAAAAACATTTTTTAAATTAATTAAAAGAATGTTCCTCCTGTGAGATACACAGCTTATTCCAAGACAATACACATGGATGAAATCAGGTAAAAAACCAAACAAACAAAAACCCCAATGGGTCAAAAAATTTGCAAAACTATGGTATAAGTGAGATGTTTACTATATATTTTTTGAAGGAAATTATTTGCAGCTGCATTCGATAGTAATGGTATATTTGCCACATACCCTAATAGGGCCAGACTGAAGCACTGTGAAAACACTATGGAGGTGCTGGGATCAGACAACCCGAGTTTTCAAAAGGCACTGCCTCTGACACGAGTTTGGGTAATGACACTGAGTAACCACTTAATGTCTTTGTGATACAGTATCCTTTTTTATCAAAAAGAGATTAACAATCCTCATAAAATTGTGAGGATTAAATAAAATACATGTCAAATACTTAGTAGAGTGCCTGGTATATAGTGCTCCATCGATGCTAATTTTTTCATTATAGTGGGATAATAAAAATAATAGCTATTAAGAACATAGGCCCAAGAGCATGGGTTTTTACATGATATGACCTTGGGCTGGTTACCCAACCTCTGTGCATTAGCTGTCATATCTACAAAAAAGGAAAGCAAGAGTCCTAAAAGGTTCCTGTGTAAGGTATTAACAGTGCTTGGCACACAGTAAGCAACTCGATAAATGCTACCATTATTATGTGTAATAAAAACAGGATGCTTTGCTTGGTTAAAAAGTGATAAAAAGCCAGTATTTCCATTTACACTGTATGCTATACCAACTACTATTATAATCATGTCACAGGATAATAAAGAAAAAAGTGCTAATTATAATAGTATTTGACAGCTTTTTACTTGACATTGTTTTGGAGGCAACATCTAAGGAGAAATCTTTGGTTTTCTCTGTTATATCTTAACAAGTGAATTCCCAAAACCATTGGATTGTTAAAAAGCCATAAAGTGATGGACTGTAGCAGTTAGAACTGGTATAAAGTTTTGAGGAAAAGAAGACAGAACATCAAAAGAATACTTTTTAAAGTACACTTTTTAATACTCAAAAATATTCTTTTTAATTTAACCATGAGTTAAAATGGTCTTATCTATTGTAGTTCACCTCACATACCCATCTGTGGACTCTTGTACCCTGTAAGCCATAAGCAAACTCAGTGATCCTCGGTGACTATCATCCCTGGGAACATTTGTTCATAATGATTAGATCTATTTTCTTACATAAACTTTGCAAGAAAAACAGAAGACCTGTCATATCCTTTTGATATAATTAGTTGAAAGACAAAAATACTAATTATAATAATATTTGACAGCTTTATCATGGAGAATTTTGCGAAGCCAAGCATCAGTACTTACAGTATGCACTTGTGGTGGTCGGTGATGCACTGTGAGCTGAGGTCCTGTTGATCCCAGGGTCAGTCCATTGTTTACAACATATGTAGTTGCTTGAGGCACTCGAACTGTGACACCTACCAAAGAAAACTAAGGGATCAATTCGAATTCTATTCTAAATTTTGTGGAACACTGATTAAACACTTGAAGTCCATAAAGTAATGTTTTTAAAACAAGAAAGGAAAAATATTTCTAACCTAGAATTCTACACTTAGCCAAAGTGTCGCTTGAGCATAAGGATAAAGAAATTTTCATATATTCAAACAACAACAACAACAACAACAAAAATATCTACCTCCATGAGCCCCTTCTCAAGTAGTCACTGGGGGATGTGTGCCACCAATACAAGAGAGAGCATCAAGAAAAGAGGAAAACGTGAGATACAAGGGACAGGTGATCCAGCACAGAAAAGAAATAAATGGAATCCCTCCAAAATGACCACGAACAAAATTCCCAGAACACTGGAACACTGGTGGTACACCATATGCAGAAGGCAAACAGGTCAGAATGGAGCAGTGTGACTCTAAAGACAGATCTCTGCTGTCTCATCTTTTTAACCAGGACAGAAATCTCCACTATGTTATCCTTGCCTTGTGTTAGGAGGTTCCTTTCTTTTTCTCTCCATGCCCTGCTGATCAGCTGAGGATACTCAATCCACTCAACAGAAAACTGTTCTGACGTACAACGGGGCAAGAGAAGCAGGAAATTAGAGCCACCTCCTGCCCCCACCATATTCCTTCCAGATACTCAGTACGTGGCCCATACTAGAGCTCTGCCAAGTACTCTGACTGTGGTGAGCCCAGTTTCCCACAACTCATTCAAGACCCTCTTGACTGATTTCCCCAGAGAAACCTCTTGCAAACTTGAGAAAGTTGAAGCCAGATTATGAACCAGAGACTCTGCTTAGTTTATATTCTCCTGGAAGCCATCACCTAATAATGGCATTATTGTGGTTTCTTTAAACAGCTAGATTTGTCCTTGCTATCAAATTTTGCAAAACTAAATATTTTCAGTGATATCTGTGTATAGGTGGCAAAACCATACAGGAAAGCAGAAAGTAAGGATGATGGTTACCTCTGATGGAAAGGCAGAGGGATGCAGTAACGGCAGGCATGCAATAGGCTTGTAGGATACTAATAAAGCTCTATTTCTTAGCCTGGTGGAGACTTCATAGGTCATTCAGTTTATTATTTTTCTTTAAACTTTAAATATACCTTTTATATAAGCTTCTGTTTGAATGATGTATTTTACTACTAAAAGAAACACATGCAGATGCTCTTCAACTTACGATGGGGTTACATCCCAGTAAACCCATTGTTTAAGTTGCAAATATTCTAAGTCGAAAATGCATTTAATACACCTCACCTACCAAACATCATAGCTTAGCCTGGCCTACCTGAAATGTGCTCAGAACACTTACACTAGCCTACAGTTCAGCAATTATCTTGAGTTTCATCTCAAGTGTAATTGCCTTTTTTTTTTTCTCACCAGAAGCAGGAGACAAAGATGGGTATTTTGTAGACATGATGGAATGTAAAAACACAAAATGTGATTATTAAAAAAACGCTGGTAACATAGTACATAGTAGAGTATCAATTGTCTACCCTCATGAATGCATGGCTGATCGGGTGCTGTGGCTGGCTGCCCAGCATCATAAGAGTATCATATCACATAGTGCTAGCCTGGGAAAAGATCAAAATTCAAAATTCAAAGTATGGTTTCAACTGAATGCATATTGCTTTTGCACCCCAGTTAAGTAAAAAAATTGCAAGCTGGGGGCCATCTATATGTGGAAAGTACAAGTTTCCTTTAACGTTTTCCCATCTTTTACTTTTTGGCCATCTTCTATACCTTGAAGACTCTCTCTCATTGGAGGCTATCTATTACCATTATTTCCATCATCTGCGCTAAGTCATAATTAGTCCTTCTCACTTTAATTAGGCAATTTATCTCTTAATAGAGTTCAGTGTAGACCAACATCAAATAGGAAACTATAATTATACCGTCCATAAATAATTAAAGTGGAAGACAACATTCAGAGCGCAAATCACATAATATACATGCCCAATTTTTCTGGTCAACTCTCCTAACAGAAGAAAAATGAAAAATAGTTTTTATATGATACTACAAGCACTTTTTGCTAAATCTAACGTCAATAAAAGGCACTCCAACTAAATGCTGAAGAACTACATGTAACTTGGGGCCACATACAAGAAAAGAGTCTCTTACTGTTTTGGGGATTGACCTGCCGTACAGCAGGAGCCTGCATAACAGTTCCTCGCAGGGGAGCCTGAGCTGGTGGTGCTGGGAGAGTTGTATAAACCACTTGGTGGTTCGCAGGAGCTCTTGGTACAGGAAGTCTCGTGGTCCCCTGAGTTACTGGACGCTGTGTTACATTCACGGTGGTTGGAGCTAATGACAAGCAGAAAAATATATTAAAAATACAGTAAAGTCTATGGTAAATGAAAAGTATTAAATGGTAATTAGCTTTGCACATAATCTAATTAACTCTAATAAAGAGACATAGAGACAACAGTCTCCTTTTGTAATCTTGATAGGGCCAAACAAAATTAATAATATTAAACAATCCAAACTTCAGAAGGAAAGAGCACCTCAATGGCCTTTCCATGCTTCAGTTTGACTAAATAAGCATGTGATGATAAAGAAAAGGTTTAGACTCAAGAGTATGACCTTATAGGAGTGACTTAGAAAACTTTCCCTCCTCAATGTTAAATTGCTCTCAGTAGAGTGGAATTTTAGGGCCTCCAAGCTGTCTACAAATGGGTATAAATGCAAAAGCGTAACTCTGCATTCCCACAGTTCAAGAAAATGGTGGGCTATTGTAACTGACATTTTCTTCAGGTGAACCAAACCATCTCATTCAAAACAATAAAACATCTATTAAAATACAGACTTCTCTCTCTACTCTGGCATGCCTCCTAATCTATGCTTCAGAGAGCATTGATGCTTTGAATGATGTTAATATTTATCAAAAATGAATCCACAATGTTCACTTACAGCATGGAACTACAATAATGATTTTAGGAGTTAACAGTTTTCTTTGTTAATAACTCTCTGAATTAGGATCACATTTTATAAATGACCACATATAAACTATATAATAAAAACAATAAATCTCCTTTCTTTTGGAAAAATGGGTTCTATAATAAAATTGATGCTGGATTATAACAAAGATAAAAAGTTTTCTTTACTAAAGACTTTAGTCTTTACATATCCTAACTTTCAATGTGAGTCTTTAGAAAGGGAAAGAAAGTATACAAGGAGAAATACTCTCTTCATCTCTTTATTCTCCATTTTATTACCTATGCTGCACATGCATTTGCATAATGACGTTTCCTTCTAAATTACCTAAATTAGGTGACTGTCATTTTAATTTCACTGGATAAAATTCCATGCGAACTCAGTGTTTTTCTTTAGTGAGAAATGTGCTCATATAAATATTTTGCAAATAAATCTCTAAGCAATGAGCTATTTTATGAAGAAAAACTGTCTTGATTTGCTTCCAAACAGTTTAGGAGATATACGTTACATCTTGAAAATGTCTGATTTACAACTTCTTGAGAGGTAGCAAGTAAAATATTAGTGTTTATCTCCAGATGGTAGTGTTAGACAAGTTAGAGCTAGTTAAGAATTCTTTAAAAATTCGTATTTAATCAGTCAATTATAATTTCTTGGTTATAATCAGAATGAATCATCCCTCTAGAAACACTCTATTCATTTTTGCTGTACACAGTGGCAGATGAAAAAGAAATACAGTTTAAGTCTTCTATATAACCATTCCATATCTAGTACTGTTACTTAAGATGGTCAGCAAAACTAAATTATACTGCATTCAAAAGGACACACTGTCTTCGAAAGAACAATGAGAGTCATTAATTTTCTATTTAACATTCCACTTGATTCCACAGTCATGTATCACTGTAGGCAAAACCTCTGCTTCAGTTCAGTGATTCAGCAAGTTTACCTGTAGGTAGTAAGTGTATCGTTGTCTGAGATGGTCCACTTGTTGGCACCCCAGATGGCTGAAGAGGTGGTGCTGGCTGGATGGGCTGCAATGGTCGAGACGCGGGCTGAGAAGAACCCATGGTTGACACAGGAGTGTGATTTACCTTTTTAGGTTCTGTTAATTAAAAGTGAGGCATTATGATTATTGATACAAAAAAAGCAGAAATACAGATTTTTCCTTTATGGGTGAATTTTATTTGTGCTTGCCATTCAGTCACATTTACCACTTAGAGAACAATTTCTTTCCATTTTAATTATGTGTATTTTTGCCAATTTGAAAACCAAGTCAGATTTTACACTTTTTTTTGAGCTGAGCCATCCTGTCACCTGTTGGCAGCTCAGCGGCAGCTCAGCTCGGGCCAGGACTCAAACCGCTGTTGCTCAGAGCTCATGCTCTTGAGCGAGCTCTTAACCAGCTGAGCCACTTGGCCGGCCCCCAAGTCAGATTTTAAATAATCCACTGTGGGTTCTATCACAAATTCTAATTCACATTTATAGAAATACAGTTTTATATTTTGTTTGTTTTCATGAAAGAATCCTACTTCTGAACTCAATATGTCAATTAGAATAATTTTATTTCTTACATTAATACATATCTAGGTACCTATGTCAAGGACATTCTCCTAGAAAAACACCTATAAATTGATGAGTTTCTCACCAGAGAGCTTGAATTCCAATTACTCTACTGTTACTTAGACTGTTTTGTTTAATAACACCGATGGTTGCTTATTTACACTATCCAGTTTTTAAAATAAAATACAGAGTGTCTATCTCAAAAAGGTCTCTAATAGCCTATGAAATAAATGTCTGCATCTCGGAAAAGGCCCTTAAAGATAGGTTACCACTATATGTGGTAATATAAAGAGTGTAAGCCAAAAGCCCTTCCATCCAAAATGATCCCATTTCTGTCCTATGGAATTCTAAAATGTAAACAAATTTCTATGTAAATAAAGTTCTAAAATGTAAATAAAATTTAAGGCGTTAGCAAGTTATATTTTAATTGGGTGTTGATTGAGAACAGTGCACTTTAGAACGGGAGAATTTAAAGTACACTCCAAGGTGGAGAAATGGAAAGAGATCCCAGGAGACAGGGATGCTGGCAAGGGAACTGGCAAGAACACTGATAATAAACTTTGCTTACTTTACTTTTTTATTCAGAATTAGCCCTACCTGTATCCTCTCAAAAATAACCTGTATTTATTTTTGTCCTCTAAGAATTCCTTATATTTAGACTTGCCTACAAAAAGATAGTGAAAGCAATACAGATAATTTGAAACTTTTTAAGAATAATCGTACTGGTATAAATTCAACCCTGACAAATGATGGCATAAATTTTCTAATTTTACAGTCTTATACCCCACCCCCAAAATGACTTTACCATCACAGAAACAATTGCATAGCTACTAAATTTTGTTTTCCTAAAACCAAATGAACTATCTTGCTCCCTAAAATATAATTTTTTAAATCTTTAGGCTTTTATAATTTAATGTCTTTAAGGTCGTAATTAACTTACACCTGATCTTACTATATTTTCAACATGCATTATATAATTATCACCACAGAGTTTTACAGATATGTCTGTAAAAAGTTACTTTGTGCAAATAAGTTTGAAAAATACTTTATATTTTGAATTATTCCTGGAGATTTACAATGTAAATTAACATAGTAAAGGCTCAGAAAAGTCTGTAGTTAAAAAGGGGGAAAAAAACCCAAACACTATAATTTTGTTTCCTAAGCATATTGAACCACGGGACTTTTAATTCATAGAACACCTATTAACACTGCAGAAAAATAATTTGGAATATTGGCAAATATCTAGTCAATATAATTTCTAAATATTATCACTCAGAATAATATTGAGGATTTTGAAAGTGCATGCTTTCTAGCTTTCTAACATTACTTTCATTTTTATTTAAATAATACTCAGTAAAGAAAATTAATTCAAATAACCAAAATTAAATATATGAACATGTAAAAGTACCTACATTAAAACACACACACACACACACACACACACACACACACCATTTGGAGTCAGAAGACCTGGGGTTGATTCCTAGTTTTTAGGGATTCATATACTCTGAGTCTATGCTTAACTCTAAAATGGGCATTACAGGGTTATTGCAAGGGTCAAGTGAAATAAAAGATATAAAAAGAGAGGTGCTCCATAAGTTAAATATTCTCCCAATTGCTTTGTTTTCCTCGATGCCTTGTTCATATTCACTCAAGCTTTGATTTCTATTTTTTAATTCTAATCTAAAAAATTCTCATTCTATTGATAGAAAGGATACAAATACACCAGCCATAAATTGTAAGTATCTGTCTTCACTGAATATTGTATTGGATTAAGAGGAAAAAATGGTATCAAAGCATCACTTAGTATGATTACTTGTATTTAAGTACCTTGTGAAGAAGCTCCACTCTCTTCATCATCCATTGTGAGATCAATGACACCACCAGAATCACTGCCTGTGGCTTTTCCACTCTGAAAAACAAAACTCACTCATTTTGCAAAAGAAACTCTGGTAGTCATAAAGGAAAAATGAAATAATACTGAGGAGATATAAGGATTACAAATAGCCTGGTTCAATCTGGACCACTACACAGCTTTACCTGAAGAAACAGTTTGTCAGATAAGTGACTCCAGGATACTCATGACCTAAACATCTGCCACATAAAAACTAATTTTGAAATATTTTCACAAGAAATTCTAGAAGCTTTTAAAAATAAAGCTATCAATTGCTCAGAGCTATGAAAATAATTAGGTACTTTAAGTAATAAGTGATTAATACAAACATCATTCATTTTTCTAACATTTAAAATGTTGATCAATTCTACATTAAATTATCCACATTAATTCACAAAAACACCAAAGGCAACTGGAAAGCTAGAACTAATCTAAATCCATTTTTTCTCTAAATCCATTTTTTTCTAAAATAATCTAAATCCATTTTTTTCTCTAAAAAATGGTATGGTATGATAGGATATGGTATACTGTACTATTAACTGACATCCAATTTGACTAAAGTCAACATTGTCCAAAATCATTAGAAACATAATTAAAAAAAAATTTATAACCATACAATAGCAACAAAAAAGGAAAGCAGACCTAAAGAACCAGGATCTTCAAGTCAAAAAGACCGAGTACATCTTTTAGTTCCACTACTTATTAGCTATGTGAATTTATGTTAAAAGGTAATTTCCTCAATTTGTAAAATTTGGATATGGAGTTTATTATGAGGGTTAATCTAAATATGTATATAAAGAGATTAATAACAGGTGTGACATATGGTCACTGCTTAATACAATCATGTGCTATATAACAATGTTTTGGTTAACGATGGATTTAATACACAACAGTTGTTCCATAAGATTAAAATGTAGCTGAAAATTTCTATCATCTAGTGACATTGTGACCATCACAACATCACAGTACAACATATTACTCACATGTTTGTGGTGATGCTGGTATAAACAAACCTACCTCATTGCCAACTGTATATAAAAGTATAGCACATACAATTATGTACCGTACATGATACTTGATAATAATAAATGACTATATTACTGATTTATGTATTTACTATAGAATACTTTTTTATTGTTATTTTAGAGTGTCCTATTTCTACTTATATAAAGAATTTGCTGTAAAACAGTATGCTGTGTTATGCTGGCAGCAGCCCCATATATCTTATGTTTACCACATTTCTTGATTGCATCGTTTTGTCTTATGTCGTTTTGTACAATAACATGCTGTACAGGCTTGTAGCCTGGGAACAACAGGCTGTACCAGATAGCCTAGGTGTGTAGTAGGCTAGACATCTACGTTTGTGTAAGCGCACTCACTCTGTGATGTTTACACAATGATGAAATCACCTAATGAAGCATTTCTCAGAACGTATCCCAGTTGTTAAGCAGCCCATGGCTGTATACGAGTATGCTAATCAAAATTACTTTATATTATACTGTAGATTAACTCAAAATGATTAAAGTTTTCATCTGCAAAACTCAAAATTTTGTGACATAAAAGAAAATAATTCCTTACAGTTAATGACTTAACACCACAAATCTGTAAAATCCAATATTAAAAGTTCTTAACAAATCCTCAAAGAATGTAACAGAATCCACTCGCTACAACATATCTATAATAAGGTCCACTTTTAAAATTTACTACATTTTAGAGAGTGATCTCCAAAGCACGGCAGCATGAGAGGGTCCCCTGATCTCTCCTTTTGAAGTTACAAGTTGTACAGCTATAATTCAACAAAGGATTCCCTGCTCAACACACAAACATGTCTGAGAGATCCGCTCATCGAAACATCTGGAGGGGCCAGTGCTAGGATTTCAGGGGCTGGGAGCCCATTGCCTGCCATATTCCCCCATGGGAGTGGTGCCCTGAGACAGGGTCGACCTGGTTACAGAGGAACTGCCTGCCTCCCCGGGGAATACAAGGCATTTTCCAATGGACCTCAGAGATCCAAGAAGCTCACGCACTGCAAAAGAAAAATAAAACACTTGCCCTCCAGCACCGTCTACTGGTAAACAAAAGAAGGATCTCTTGTCAACCTGCTAAAGAAGTGTCACTCATAAAATTTACTAAATTTTAAATTTATCAAAAATTACCAGAAAAATATGCAAAGCCTAGTAGAGTAGAATGCAACCAAAGACAAAATATAGTCAATAGAAAATTACTCCAAATGAAGCCAGGTGATAATTCAGCAAAGACTTCAAAACAGCTGTTAAAAATATGATCAAAGAATTCAAGGAAAATATGATACTAATGAATGTGCAAATAAGAAATCTTAAAGTAGAAACTGAAAAACAAAAATAGAAAGGCAACAGAATTGAGATAGAATACTGAAAAAACACGTCACAAAATAAAAAAACCACATAGAAACAAAAAATAGATAAGAGAAATTTTTATAATTACAAAACAGTAGACCTAAATACAACCATATCAGTAATTATACTAACTGTAAATAAACTGAATTTCCTCTCAAAATGTAGGGATTGTCAGATGGAACAAGACAAGAAAACAAAAAATAACTATATTTTTCTGCTAGATACTCACTTTAAATACAAAGACACAAACACACTGAAAAAAGTAAGCATAAAAAAGCTGCTATGACCATGTAAACACTAGACAATACACAAAGAGAGAAACTTTATAATTATAAAAGTGTCAATTTGTATATTTTTCCCATTAATTTTGTTGCCTTCACTTAATATGTTTTGATACTCTTATTATAAGGTGCATATTTTTCTATAATGTATAATCTATAATAAAACAAGAAGGTCTGCAACCAAATCCAATATACTCAATTATATTTTTACTGGTCATAACCTGACAGATACAGTCATCTATTATCATATACTACAGGTAGTGTCCTGAGTATACTTTCTTCTTGAGAAATAAAACTGGTAATTATTTCAACAACTATTAACAGCAATTATAAAATAATCATGATAGCTGGCATGATTGCTACTGGGCACTGTGCTAAACGTTTTGTATTTGTTAACAAATTAGATCTTTACAATAATCCTATAAGGTGGGTAACAGCATTAGTCACATTTTATTGGTGAGAAATAACTTGCCCAAAGGCTTTCCACTAATAAGTGACAGGAGCCAGGTTGTCTGACTCTAGAGCTTATTACCTTTATGCCACTAGGTGCAGATATATAAGCAGACATACATACATGTATATGTATCTTTACATTTTTTTCTGACATCATCTCCAAGAAAACTTATCTAATCAGAGACATCACATGTTTATATCTGCATTTACACATATTACTGACGTTTTCAACTGAAACTATAAAAAAAATCAAGTAGGTTTTAATACTAAGAATCTATAAAAAGCTACCTAATCATGTGTACTTCCTCAAAATGACCATTTATTAAGTGAATACTAAGAAAATTTCAAGAGAGCAAAGATATTAGGTTTGTAGGTATTTTTTTTGTTTGTTTGTAATGAAACAAATAAAAAAAGAACATATATGAAAGGCTACAGTAGGCACTTCAATAATTGCAAAGAACGTTAACACAGAAGACCTGGTTGTTTGCTCCTTGCACATCGCTCCCAGGGACCTTGAACTATAACTGAGACTTGGTTAGCTACCAAGGCTGTGGCCCTCAGAAAGTTTATATTAATGATTGATAATTTTATTTATTTATTTATTTTTTTAAAAGATTTTTATTGGGGAATTGGGGGGATGGGAACAGTGCTGGGGAATTGGGGGAAGGAGAACAGACAAATTGCTGTCGTTTTGTTCTTCAGTCTAGTCGTGGAGGACGTTGCTTCACTAGCCCAAGTTGGCACCATCATTGCGCTCTTCCCGGGTGAGGCAG